CATGAACTTGTCGAAACTCCTATTCCATTATTGAGGAGATTGTTTCAGTCCATATAAAGATCTATTCAATTTGCACACATACTCTTCCTTCCCTTTTTCGACATACCCTTCTAGTTTTCTCAAAAGGATTGTTTCATCTAGTTCGCCATACAAGAACGCAGCCTTCACATCCATCTGTTCCAGTTCAAGGTCGAACTGTGCCACTGTGGCAAGCAACATTCGAATGGATATGTGCTTCACAACAGGAGAGAACATATCATTGAAGTCGATACCTTCTTTCTGAGTGAACCCCTAGAGACCAATCTTGCCTTGTATCTCTTCGATGCCACTCCTTCGATTCCTTCCTTAACTTTGAAAATCCATTTACAGCTAACTAACTTGGCTTCAACAGGTTTCTTGATCAGTTCCCACGTGTTGTCATCATGAAGAGATTTCATCTCATAATCCATAGCCTTCAGCCATTCAGTCTTCTTTCGACTCTTCATAACCTTCTTATAGTCTCTGAGGTGGCTTGATGACTCACCTCTACCTATCTCTTGCTATCAGGTAGTCATTATCAGTCTCCTCATCTTCGACAACATCTTCTTCATCTTCTTTGACTTCATCTAGGATACACAGTTCAGCATCAACATGCACCACCTCAATAGGAATCTTTCCCTGTTCCAGCTCTTCGCCATCATCATCAATTTTCTTGAAAGCCATCTCTGCTTCATTGAAAACTACGTCTCGACTGGTGATACATCTCTTGTGACCTGGCTCTAGGCACTATAGCCTATAAGCTTTGACTCCTTCAAGATATCTCATGAACATGCATTTCAGAGCTCTAGGTTCAACCTTGTCTTGCCTAATATGAGCATAGGCCATACAACCAAATACTCTCAGTCTGTCGAGACAAGGTGGATGTCCCGACCAAACTTCTTCAGGTGTCTTCATCCACCCAAAACACCTTCTTCAATCCAGCACTAACCAACATGCATCTAATCCTTTCAAGGATTGTTTGATTGAATCTTTCAGTTAGCCATTTTGTTGAGGAGTACCTGCTACAGTCTTATGCCTTGCAATCCCATACTCAACACAGTAACTATCGAACGCTTCGTTTCAAAACTCAAGGACATTGTCGGTTCTCAACCTCTTAACCTTTATGCCAGCTTGAGTTTCGACCAGAACTTTCCAACTTTTAAAATTCTCAAAATTTTCATCCTTCGTCTTCTGGGTGAATACCCATAGCTTTTTGGAAGAATCATCAACGATGGATAGAAAATACCTTGCACCTGAGTGTGAAGGATTCCTTACAGGCCCTCAAAGATCAACGTGAATGTAATCCAGGGATCCATGTGTTCTTTGCTTGCCTTTGTTAAACTTTACCCTACAGGACTTACCAAATACACAAGATTCACAAAACTCTAACTTTTCGACTTTGTCACCGCCTAACAGGTTCTGCTTCCTCAATTCGACCAGACCTCTTTCGCTGACATGGCCTAATCTCATGTGCCATGATTTTGTCTTCGACATAGGTTCCGTGGATGCAACATTTGTCGAACCACTTACAACCTCAATCTCAAGGGTATATAAGCCTTGTTTCATCACGCCTCTCAAGACTTCCTTCGACCCCTTCATGACTCTTAGAATACTTTTCTCTCCTTGAAAAACACATCCCTTCCTATCGAATTCACCAAGAGAAATCAAATTTATCTTCAAATCAGGTACATACCTGACTTCAGTCAATAACCTTATTGACTCATCATGGAGCTTGAATCTCACAGATCCAATACCTGCAATTTTGCAAGATTTGTCATTTCCCAGCACCACTGATCCACCATCTTGATCACATAGCTCCTCGAACAATTCTCTGTTTGGAGTCATGTGCCAAGTGCAAACTGAATCCACAATCCACTATTTTCTTGAGTCGCCACTTGAAACCACAAGAACATCAGATGAGTCGAAGTCATCTTGAATAATAGATGCGTTGCCATTATCCTTATCTCAACGATCTTTCAAGCGTTCAGGATACACCTTTCTTGTGTGACCCTCCTTCTTATAGTGATAACACCGAATACCAGATGTTTCGCCACTATAAGACTTCTACTGACTTTTACCTTTCTTCTTGTCGAACTTACCATCCTTTCGCAAGAATTTTCCCTTAACGGCCAAACCTTCATCCACCGTCGAAGGTTTATGCTCCTTTCGTTTGTTCAAGTCCTTAAAATACAATGCTGATTGAACTTCTTTAAAGCTCAGGGACTCCCTTCCATACAAGAGATTTTTTTTGAAGTGAGCATGTGTTTTGGGCAAAGGACACAACAATAGTGCTTAATCTTCATCATTGATCTTCACATCAATATTTTCAAGATCAAGAACCAGCTTGTTGAACATATCCAACTGCTCAGTCAATACTTTGTCTTCACTCATCTTGAATGAATACGAAGCTTGTTTCAGGTAGAGTCGATTCACCGGAGATTTGGTCATGTACAAACTTTCAAGTTTCACCCATAATCCTGATGTTGTATTCTCCTTTGATACCTGTCGAAGAACCTTCTCACTAAGGCTCATCAATATTGCACCGTGGGCTTTCTCAATCATGACCGTCTTTTCTTTTTCCATTAACGCAGTGTCCATGGCTGCCTCTCCCTTCAACGCTTCCAAACAATCCTGCTGAACCAGTAGGGCTTTCATCTTCAAGCGCCACAGACCGAAGTCGTTCACTCCGGTGAACTTTTCAATCTCATACTTTGTTGAAGGCATCCTCTCAATGCTCACCGCACCAATTTGTTGTAAATAGGATATCTTGAAACAAAATATAAATGATTTCTTTATGATTAAGAAACACACAAGAGTTAAGGTTAACAAATAAAACAAGGTAAAACAATAAGAAACAACAAGGATTGCTTATAAACCGCAATTCTTTCCTTTCTCTTAGAACAAGATTACAAGTATACAAGAATAACAAACAACCTCTCTCACATGAATTAGGATTTTATCTTCCTATTTTTCCTTATACAAGATGAGAGACAAGTATGCTATTTATAAGAAAATCAACACACTAACCTAATGGGCATTTTAACAATTACCTATTACAAGTTAACTTAGGCTACAAGCTAACTTAAACAATTGGGCTTACAAGCAAGGCCCAATTCAACATGCTAACAAACCTAGAAATATTGGCTAACGCATGTTAGAACACACTTTGATTACAACACGCATTACTCTGACAGCAGCATGCGAACAGACTTCGACCTCATGCTTAATTCCTGTCGAACCAAAAACTACCCTTCGACCATACTAGATTCCATCCAATATCTCACATCTTTGGCATTGAATTAAAACAACTATCTACTAGGCGTTTTCTTCTAACGCAGTCCAAGTACATTTGTTCCTCCTAGCTCATTCTAACATGAGTAATGTTAATGATGTCACCACACCTATGTTGATTGAATGCAAGTTAAGCAGACATGGTGTCACACCTCTCTATGAGCCTCATCACTACCAGTCCATGGTTGAAGCACTTTAATATGTGACTCTTACACAATCAGATATTGCCTTTAGTGTCAATAAGGCGTGCTAATTCATTCCCTTACCTCTGAAAACTCTTTGATCTGCAGTCAAACACGTTATGTGTTACCTAAATGGCATCATTCATCATGGTTTTATGCTATCACCAACCCCTTCTTCGTGTAAACTTTGTCTTCACGCCTACAGTGACTCTGATTAGGAGAGTAGTCCAGATGACTGTCGTTCCACATCTGGCTCATGCATATTTGTTGGTCCAAATCTAGTTTCATGGAGTTCTAAGAAACAACTTCTAGTCGACAGTCGAGTACTTATGCCAAATATTGTGCCTTAGCACACACTACATTTGAATTACTATGGCTCGAGTCTCTGCTTAAAGAACTTGGCGTGACAATTTTCCCTCCCACACTTCTATGTGACAACCTTAGTGCGGTTCTTCTCTCGCATAATCCTATTCTCCATACTCACACGAAGCAAAATTAGCTTGATATTCATTTCATACGTGAAATAGTGATTGCAAAGCACATGAAGATACAACATGTTCCTAGCTCTCTTCAGTTTGCTGATATTCTCACCAAACCACTTGGCACATGGACGATTCAAGGTTTATGCACCATACTCAAAGTCGTGTAGTTCAATCCTCCTTGAGCTTGAGGAGGAGTAATAGAATATAGTGTAGCATAGTAAAGTAATTGCACCATGACATAACATGCATGGAACTCTTGTAAAATATGACATAGTATAGCATGCATGATAATCATTTATCATGCGTATTAGTAGCTATAATCATGCATGCATGGTAATGTAAGAAAGTAACTTTCACAAATTGAATATGAAATGAATTCAGAAATACTTTTCCATATATCTATCTCACCATTTCCTTATTTTATTTAGGACAATTTTAAATTTAAATTTATGTTATATTTGTGGTTAATATTTGTAATATTAACTGTCTATAAATATGACATTAAATTTGTTATATTTTAACCATAGAAAGTTCTATCCATTATCACAACAGAAATTATAGTGATAACAAACAAATGCCAGTAAGCATCACAAGTCTAAATTCAAAGCTCCTTTGAATTATAACCAAGACCAAGACAACATATTTTCAAATCCATGTTACAATTTTATCATATCAAGAACGTGCCAATCATGAAAAGACCAGATTTTCATTTCTTTAAAGCAAGTAGCAAATATAACCAATAAATAGTGCAACTTTCAACAAAGGCCACATTTTCTCTTTGGGGTCCAAAATATTATGGGTCCACATGTTTTGGTCTAAATTAAGCATCATCATGTGAAACTACTATTGTCCTTCACCTGACATGTTCCTAAACATTCCTCATTGTTATCACTTCTCAAACAATATTATTTAGTCCCCTCTATATATAATATCCCTAGAGATGACAATTCAATTCAAACCTAACTAACTCTTCTCTACCTTACTCTACCATTAAACATTTTTCTATCATAAAATATTTTTCATTATCATGAAGACAACAAGTAACAGATTTGGAGGAATTGTTCAAGCTAAACAGAAACTTCAAAGAACACTTTCACAAAGAATTAGAATGGCTTCAGCTGTTGGTGATGTACCAAAAGGACACTTAGCAGTTTATGTTGGAAATTACCATAAGAGGTTTGTAATTCCAATATCATATTTGAGTCATCCTTTGTTTAGAGATTTACTGGATTGGGCGGAAGAAGAATTCGGATTTAATCATCCAATGGGCGGTCTCACGATTCCTTGCACCGAAGATTATTTCATTAGTCTAACTTCTTCTCTTAATTAGTAAAGATTTGATTTTTTCTTTTTTTTGATTTAATGCTACCAAGTTAGATAGGAGGAACTGAATTTGGTCTATTGATCAATTCATGTTGGGGTGGAAATTCATCTAATAATTTCCGAATTCTTGTGATGTACTTATAAATTGTAGTACATTAGTTTTTTTTTGCAATTTTATGTGTCTCGGGATGTAACACTGAAAATTGCAAAGTAGTAGATTGATAATTTGTTTATTATCTCCATTTTAACCTAAAGTTTCAGCACTATAAATTTAATGTTGGAGTAGCATTTACTTGTGTACATAAAATGATTAGGCCAACCAGGAGTAACATTTAGTGACGGTTCTTGCTTAACGTCACTAAGAGAGTAAGCTACGGTTTTTCAAAAAGTTTACAATCAATTTGATATTAATATGACAAGTTAATTTTTCTTGGATAATTTTTCACAGGTATTGTTTGGTTTAAAATTTGAAAGTAAAACGTATTTTTCAATAAAAATACAAAAAATTTAATGACAATTTTGTCCTCCTGTTTTCACTATTGGTTATTTTATTTTAAAACATTAAAATGTCAATCCATTTTTTGAAAATTCAAAACTTATGTGATCAAATAATGTCAATTGATCAATATACATAAAATTATAATAAAATTTTCTAAAAGATAAGAAAACATCTTGCATCAAAAGATGCACAATCATACAAGATCTGTCATAACACTACAAAATATGAAAAGACTAACAAGCCATTACCGGTCCATAAACAAACAAAAAAACACCCTTCAGTCTTCATGCCTGATTGAAGCCATGAAGATTATCCAATCTTGATTAGCCTCTGAGTCACTTTCTTCCATTAAATTTTTCTTTATAACCTTCATCCTTGTAATTGAAATCTTCCCAGATAAAATTGCTCTAGCAGATGATCCACCAACATGAGCAGAGGAACTCTTTTTCTTGTTTTTGTTCCTCCCAGCCTCAAGAAACTTCTCAATAGCCTTGTCAATATTGACACCCTTTTTAGAGGATGTCCTCAAGGAATTCTTCTGGTTCTGACTCATGTTGATTAACACACTTTGTTGGAGAAAGAAATAGAAAATTACTTTCTTAGTACCAGGTAGGTTGGAGAGAACTTTTGTTTGGCTTGTAACACCTCTCCAAATATAAGAAGTGATTGAAAAAGAGTAAATCACCATGAATATACGTGCACTATAGAGAATATGAGAGATAATTTGGCTTAGTATCCTTACATATTTCTTTAGCTTTGAATGCTACAGGTCCTCACATAAGCACACATCAAGTGCAGTTCTCAATTGTTCAAAACAGACAACATCTAAAGGCTTAGTGAAAATGTATGCTAGTTGTTGGTCAGTTGCAATGTGCTCTAAATTGATCACTTTATCCTCCGCAAGATCCCTAATAAAATCACGGTGTATGTCAATATGTTTGGTTCTACTATGTTGGACAAGATTCTTTGAGATATTGATGACATTCATATTGTCACATACAATGTCATGACATCTTGTTCGACATTGTATTCTTTTAGCATTTGTTTCATCCAGATTAATTGAGTATAGATACTTCTAGCAGCAATGTATCCAACTTCAACAATAGACAGAGATACACGATTCTGCTTATTGCTTAACCAAGAAATCAGATTTTTGACAATAAAGAAACATCCACATGAAGTACTAATTTGTCATTAGAAATTCCAACCAAATTTAAATCACATTAACCTACTAGAACATGATTTGTATCATGAGACTACATTATGCCATAGTCATAAGTCCCACTGATGTACTTCAGGATCCTCTTTACTTGAGTGATGTGAGATGTTGGATCGAACTCTAGTATGGTCGAAGGGTAACTTCTGGTTCGACATGGATTAAGCATGAGGACAAAGTATGTTCGCATGTTGTTATCGGAGTAATGCGTGTTGTAGTCGAAGTTTGTTCTAACATGCATTAGTCAATATTGCTAGGGTTGTTAGCATGTTGAATTGGGTCTTGCTTGTAAGCCCAATTGTTTAAGTTAGCTTGTACCCTAAGTTAGCTTGTAAGGATAATTGTTAAAATGTCCATTAGATTAGTGTGCTATTTTTCTTATAAATAGGATGCTAGTTTCTCAATCTTGGCATAAGGAAAAATAGGAAGATAAAATCCTAATTTCAAGAGAGAGAGGTTATTTTGTTATTCTTATATACTTGTAATCTTGTTCTAAGAGAAAGGAAAGAATAGTAGTATTATAACCAATCCTTGTTGTTCCTTGTTGTTTTACCTTGTTATCTTTGTTAACCCTAACCTTGTGTGTTTCTTGATCATAAAGAAATTATTTATACTTTGTTTCAAGGTATTTGATTCACAACAAGTGAGATGGCTAGCCTTAGGATTAGCTTGGTATATAGCTCATACACCTACAACATATGTAATATCGAGTCTACTAGCTGTGAGATATAAAAAAAACTTCCTATCAAGCTTCTGTAGAGTCTTTGATCTACATCCACTCCATTTTCATTCTTAGAAAGCTTCAAGTGAGTTGCAGCAAGAGTTCTCTTATGAATTGCATTGTCAAAACCAAACTTCTTTACTATATTCTTAGCATAATTTCTTTGAGTCACAAAAACATTGTCCTCCATTTTCTTAACTTATAGACCAAGGAAATAAGTGAGTTCTCCTACAAGACTCATTTCAAACTTTGAATGCAATTGTTGAACAAAATAATGCACGATCATGTTTGATATCTCACCAAACACTATGTCCTCCACATAGATTTGGGCTATCATCAGCTTCCCTCCATCATTCTTCACGAATATAGTTTTGTTTATTCCTCCTCTATTGTATCCATGCTCTTTAATTTGAACACATGATCTGGAAAGTTGGGATTAGTGAACCCCTTAGGTTGCTCCACGTAGACCTCTTCATGAAGATACCCATTTAAGAAGACACTTTTAACATCCATTAGAAACATTCTAAACTTCAACATGCAAGAGATTTCCAATAATAGTCTTATAGATTCCAGTCTGGCTACTGGGGAAAATATTTCGTCAAAGTCTACTCATTATATATGAGTATACCCTTGAGAAACTAACATTGCCTTATTACTTGTCACATTACCAATTTCATCATACTTGTTCTCATAAATTCACTTGGTACCAATGAAATTCACATCTTCAGGTCTAGGAACTAGCTCCCACACATTATTTCTTTCAAACTGGCACAATTCTTCTTGCATGACATTGATCCATAATTCATCAGTCAATGTTTCCTTGACATTTTTAAGCTCAATATTGGAGATAAAGCGTGAGTTGGCAATGCTTTCTCTAAATCTTGTAATCATTCCTTCATTTAGATTTCCTATAATGTTCTCTAAGGAATGATTTTTTTGAACTCTGATTGACAGTCCCTTACTGATTTTGAGATCATCTGAATTAGTAATCTCATGCATAATGTTGGTCTCTATTGTTGGGACATTGGTTGGGACATCAGTTTGTTAAGGAGGAACTTTATCTTGGTATTCTTTCTTATCTTCAAGAGTGTCATCAATAACCACATTAATAGATTCCATCATAACCTTGGAGCGCTTTTATACACTTTGTATGCTCTGCTGTTTATGGAGTAACCAAGGAATATACCTTCCTCACTCTTGGAATCCATTTTTCTCCTTTGTCTTTAATCTATCAAAATGTAGAACTTACTTCCAAAGGCATGGAAATACTTGATATTTAGCTTTCTCCATTTCCTTAACTCATATAGGGTTTTTTTGGTTCTGGATCTAATGGTTAGTCTACTATGAATGTGGAATGTTGTGTTCATAGATTCATCCTAGAAGTAATATTGATGTTTCTTGGCATGTAACATAGCTCTGGATGACTCTTGCAGAGTTTTGTTCTTACTTCCTACCACCCCATTTTGCTGAGGTGTGATTGGGGCAGAGAACTCATGGCTAATACCTTTAGAAGCATAAAATTTAGAGGACTTTAAATTTTCAAACTCAGTACCATGGTTACTTCTTATTTTACCAATTCCAATCCCATTCTCTAATGAATTTTACCCAAGTGTGTCTTGAGAAGCCATCCACACATACAAAAAGATACCTTTTATCTCTTAGACTTTCTACTTACATAGGCCCCATTAAGTCCATATGCAATAGTTCAAGAGCTTTAGTGGTGGCAAGATGCTGAAGCTTCCTGTGGGGCATCTTAGTCAACTTTCCTATTTGGCATTCTCCACACACTTTACCTTCTTCAATATTGGGTTTAGGAAGTCCCTTCATAACTTTTTCTGAAACAATCTTCTTCATGCTCTTGAGATTGAGGTGACCAATTTTTTGGTACCAAAGCTTGGTCTCGTCAACTTTTGTCATCAGATAGGTTCAGGGATATTCCTTGTTTATAGATATCCACATATAAAAATCATCATTAGACCTTGAGCCTTTCATAATCACTCCTTGATCTTGGTTGGAAACGACACATATTGATTTGTTAAAGCTAACCTTAAGACCTTGATCACATATATGACTTATACTGATCAAGTTGCCATTCAGACCTTCCACCATCAACACATTATCAGAGCTTAATAGACCAGAATATACTAGTTTTCCTATTACCTTGATTGTGCCTTTTGCACCATCATCAAAGGTGACATAACTATTAGAGTAAGGTTTGAGCTTTTTAACATACAACCTTTCCTTTGTCATGTGTCTGGAACATGCACTATCAAAATTCCAATCCTTTCTAAAGGATACTCTAAGATAAGTATGAGCCATACGACTCGTGACTTCCACTTTGGGTTTCCACACCTTCTTCACTTAAACCTTCTCTTCTTTCCTTTTAAACCTTGTCTTCCTATGGTTTTATGGAAAACCATATAGTCGGTAACAATTTGGCCTCATGTGCACATATTTTCCATAATGATGGCATCTTCTATCACGTTTCTCTCAGCCCTTACGATGGTGGTGCGCATGTCGAGCTCGATGCTGGAACATGTGATATTTCTTATTTATATAACTATAGTCAAA